CGTCAGACTAAAGCCAACTTGTAGTTTTCACTAAATTCGACGACACTACTCTATAAAAATAAGTAGAGTTTGAAAATATCAATAGATCCGAATTATAAATCCGGTTTCCAGTCTTACTAGTAGACCAAATGAGATCAAGGGTAGGTAGAAATTGCAGTTCAGCATGTACAAGTCAGAGGCAACTATTATTCGACGGCATTGTAAAGTCGTCTAGTCATTTACTTTTCTGAGCCGCATGTTGAGTGTCTTGACGAACTGGGCCTATTATTCGAAAGCCCTCTTGTTTTAACGCTCTCAAGACCGCCTACTGAAGCTGCTGTGTTGCGTTAAGTTCAGCCAAAGGCACATTAAGCGACTTAAGCCGACTACGTTTTATTCAAGTATTACTGATAGTCTCGCAAACTACTGATATCAGAAAGAAGTAGTGCCATCAAGTTTATTTGTATGAGTAGCAAAAATCAATTATGTATCCTTAAGTCATCATAAACGCATGAATTGAATAATCTTTTAATCAAGAATGCTTGATAATCTCTGAAACTAATCATGTCCTAAAGAAAGTGTAGCTCATTTGCAGAAGTATATTATATGCCATGTCCACAATAACACGAGTTGACAACAGGGTGATGGAAATCACGGTTAAATTGTGTATGAAAATGGGTAATTTGATAACCCCATAAGACCGAGAGGAAGAATACAGTATTATTTACGAGTCAGCTGATGACATAAACGAAGATACTACTAATACAGTAGTAGTAGTATTTGGACTGGTCAAACCGGTTCCACCGTCATGAACACATTAAAGACTGGCATGAGAGAAAATCTGCTCGTCCGAAGGTGAATGTTTGCAATTGTTAACTTGTCTCCTTTCCTTCTGTAGAGGCGGCCGTCACGACCATCTTCTTTCTCATCATTTGCGTTTATCTGCCCGCCAAGCCACCGCAACCACCCTCCAGCATCGGCAGCGAACGAGGCCAACTCAAGTCCAATTTGAAGCAGTTGGCCAAGTAAGCCATTTTTACAAATCTCATGTCAGGCGCTCTGTAAATCGAAAGATTCGGTACGTGAAACCAGAGGGCGCTAACCGTGTCAAGCGGGTGGGACTCGTATGAAGTGCCTTTAAGAAGTTTAGCTCGCTTAACGGCAGATCCCGTAAACAGACCTACAAAGCAGAACAGAATTGACGGCAGCCGATTCATAGGTTGGGCATACAAGAACCGCAGCAGAACTATTATAAAACCTGGATTCCCTTTAGACGAAATATACATGCTTACTTATTTTCGATATAAGTAGTTTATGAGACGGTCAGTATTTCTTTGAAAAAAACTTGGATAATTAAGACTACTTTAGGTGAGTGAAGGACTGCTAATTTAGTTGCATTCATCGATACTACTTATTTTAGAAATGGGTAGTTTTCGAGGCGATTAATAATTTATTAATAAAAGACAACATAACAGGTGTATTCATTTTTTTCTTTTAAGGTGATGTAGAATAGCGGTAATTGAATTTTTTCACAATCAGAATGAGTCGTCCTCGTATTTTTATTGAGTTTCACATAGCCTTGCTTTCAAAAAGATATTCTTATCCAGGCTAGGCTGAACGGCATTTTCATAATATTGTGGGTCAATCTAACCGCCAGTCCTTCATCACTTTAAAATTGACTTCTAAACTGGAATTTTTAACTAACAAATTGGTCAGTTGGGGTCATTTGAGGTGATTTGAGTGAGGATAGTTGAGTATTCCTACTCAACTCATCGCTTTCGATTAAGCTGCCTATTTTCGATATGAGTAGCTTTCAAAACTTTCAGTAATTTTCGAGTAATGACCGAATCAGCTTATGTTGCTTAAGGTGATTCAAGACTGGACAATTAGGGTTTGTTGAGCTTACTTGCATTTCGGGTGAAAGTGTTGGGTGAAGAGATTTGGAGGCCACTTCCACCAGAAGACGACGGCAAATTTCTTGTGACCAGCTGTCGATTGGCTTTATTGGAACATTCTTGTTTACGTTGTTTTCGAGGCAATCTCCTTCGATTCCGGTGAAAAGGTGCTAAGCTTTCGTCCGTCGCATGACGAACATCATCACAGCAAAATATCATCGTCAAAACGAAATTGAAACTGACGATTCAAGAAACACCGTCAAAATGAATGTTCCAGTAGGTCAAGAGGAATCCGCCGTCGTCTTTTGGTTTGAATCGACCTTTGCATCTGTTCACTGGAAATGGAAGTGAGCTCAACAATTATGAAACAAGCAACTCCTCGGAACCCAACCTTTTTCACATCTAGTTAGGCTTTCGCTCAATAGTTGAAGTAGTACCACCGCCACAACATTCAGGACTATGGTTCGCAACATGTTGGGTGAACTAATGAGACCAGGGTGAAGTAGAAAGTACGGTACCTCCTTTTTGGAGGGTAGGTTGAATAGAAGTTTCTTGCATCCTGACGTTTACTCATCTAATTATGGCATAGTTAAACCACCAGTTATTAATTCCTCTTAAATGATCCTAGAATTATCTAGTTCTTATGTAAAATCTATAGCTAATTTTGATAACTACTCACTTGTTTAAAAGTAGTATCATCTGTTAAAATGGTAAATGCGCGTTTTCTTTGGTTAATTGGGAATCGTTTGGCATGCCTTAAAGTTAACATATGAAATTTTGCGTAAGTCGTAAGATAAAGCAAATTAGACTAAACCTCTCGGTGCCTTCTGATCAAGTCAGTTTTGAGTCTAAATGTTCATGATTTAATGATAAATTATATCATGTTACTGACCAAAGTATTGTCCCTCGTGATGGTGTCTCAAGGACAGTTTCCATCTGAATGGTTCAGAATAACGAAGCAGAAGACCGGAAAATCGACATGTGGAGCTCTACATTATGCTGCTTCCTAAATAAGTGGAATTCTTCACTTTCTGACTGCACCACATCACCAAATAGCTCCGGAGCCATTTGTTACCTTCAAAGCAAACTAGGCCTCTGTCAACTCAAAATGCATGGCATGCATGTCTGTGAGGCGAACATGTATTTGTCGTTACATGGAAGTTCATTCTTTCTATCCATGACGAACGGATTCAATTGTTTCATTCACTTGCCCGAGAGAACCAATTAGAAATTCCTTCAAATTCACTTTTTAACAGCTTTAAGAATTGTAGAGTATCTGCTTAAAAGAAAACTTGTGAACCCTTATTCCTGGATTTTTCTTTTGTTTTAAGTACGATTAGTAAACTCGAAAGCTATTTTTTAATTTTCCTCTTTAAACTCAAATGAATACCTATCTTTAGAAAAGGGTTTTATGCTAACTTAGTCTTGAGACAATCTGTCACTCAGGATTGCAAATAGTAATTCTTCATGGCCTGTCAACAGTTCCTACTTGCTATGAAACCATTTATGAAAGAAGCACTGAGTTGAGGTTACAAATGTAAGAACGAACTATCCTGTTTCGAATCCCGATAAAGATGCGGAGGATACGAGGAGGCGAGGCGGTCAAGATGAAACAACTCCTTTTGCAGGACAAGACAAAATGAACTTTACTGGAATTTGATGGTGGTACAATATCAATTTAACCATCCCGATTGACCCAGATTCTGTCGTACTTTCCTGAGAGACCTTAGGCCTCTCTCTCTCAATTGTCAACTTTTGTGGTTGTCCTTAACAGAACTGGGTTGTGGCGTGATTTCG